GCCTGAACTTCAGGTTAAGTTAGCATGTTCTCATAGGTTGATATATAATTAACTAAGATTTCCGATTATACGCCACGCCTCCAAAAAACTTCTTATGCTAGGAGCGGTCATCTCATTGGACGATTCTAAATGTAATTGACGTTTCAGCGAGAATACTGGCAAAGGATTGGATAACTTTGATCTCTGACATCACTTTCCTGTGATATTGCTCGAAACCAAATGCAGTACCGTTTCGTTCCTGCGGGGAACGAAACAAAAACAAATCGAACCGTACCACATTTCACTTCGCCGCACGCAACGCCACCTCGCTGAATCAGAATACAATCGAAAAATACATTCAATTTTATAGACTATAGTAGGCTAATATATGAAATGGAAAATAATTTGGTGCAAATTAACGTAATTACGTGCAAATCTATAATTATGCAAATGAACACAAGTGCGCAACACATGCTTATGAGTCTACAACGTATATTTATACTTGTAAAAAGTCAAACTGTCAAACCTTTAACTTGTCCTTGTTTATATTCCACTATATTTATAAATTCGCTCGGTCCAAATTTTGGGGTTTTCGAGTCGTTACACAAAGAAAAACACATAAATTCAACACGCCAGAATTCCAGAGTGCGACACAACGTATTCTTCACAGGAAAATCGCCACAATTCTTTAAAAATTCAAGGAAACTGTGAGAAGTATATATTAGATAGCTCAGTGAAAAGCCGCCATTTTGAAACTGAACTGAATATGTCCCTGGAGCACTGGCGCTCTCTATCGTCGGAGTTCGGAATTGTGCGCGTGCGAACAAGTGTCTAGGCTAATAAACAGAAAATGTACCACAAGCATGGCATGAGCCGGCCATTACGCACATAAATACGAACTTATTACTGTAGTATATAAGTTATGGAACCGTGGTATCAAAGGCATTTTGGCTTAATCGTTGCAGCCTGAGCCTGCGATGAGCTAACGCAAACTCGATTTCTCGACTACGAAAAAAAAACAGAAAAAGGGGGATTTAAGACACTTGGCCTATAGACAAGTGTAACTAGCCAATCAGAACGCGCAAAAGCTCATTTGATATGCCATATTTATACAAATTTACCACCTGGGTAGTAAAAAATGCTTTTCAAAGAGAATGATTCGTCAAACTTGGTTTCAAAATCGACAAAATATTGAAAAAAATGTCCCCAGAAAACGAAAGAAGCACAAAATGTTGTATTTAACTTGACAGGTAGGATTCCTTTATTATTTTAATGTGTCAAACATTTTCACGGACAATAGAAAACGTATTTAAAACACCGAAACATTCACTTCAAACAAACAGCAAAAACCATCCGGACTTTTGGGAAACACCATTTTTCTTTCACACTGCGCATGTCATCGACATCTCATATAATTAATTACGATTTCACGAAAAATAAGATATATTTGTTCCAGAATTGATACCGATATGGAATATATACAACTGGTTAATGTACCCAGTGGAGCAGGATGGCGCAGTGGAACCGTTATTATTATTATGCCCAAAACTACTTCATTCCGAAACAATAAGTTTCGAAAAATATAACACCGATAACATGACTTGCTCCCGTGGCTCAGTCGGTTGGTGGGTCGTACTTATAAGCAGTACTGAAGTATATGAAAAGGTCGAGGGTTCGATTCCCTCCTGGAGCAAGTTTTTAGCCGACTTTCTCTAACCATTATTTGGAAACATCTAATGAAACAATAAGTTAAAATATATTTGATTACGAATCTGAAATTCAGAAAATATCAACTGACAACGGGATTCTAATCCTCGTCATCGAAATGACTGGTACCTAAAACCAGGGCATTTGACCACTCGGCCACACTACCAAATGGGATGCGTAACCACATTTCTTCAAAAATTGTTTCTCAGAAGTTTTCAAAAAACGCGCGAACGTTAATCTGGAGTGGAGATGTTTATTAATGAAACCACGAAAATCGAATGCTTCTGTGGTGTAATGGTTAGCACATTTGACTCTAAATCCAAGGATCCCAGTTCAGGTCTCGGCAGAACCTCAAGTTCAATATTGTTTTTATTTTCTTCATGTTGTTCCGATGTAATCCACTCTTCTATATGGTTTCTTCTCCGCCGAAGATATTTCATCCAGAACGAGCCTTCTACAATACACGCTTTTTCAAAATGCCAAGGAAATCCTAGGCATAAATTCATTTGTATTGGCTGTCGTGAATTTCAATCATATAGCTTCATGCCTCTTGAATCCTGGTTTACTTTGAGAAAACGGCAAATAACATTGAGAATCATTTACAACGCGTACGTATGGAGCAGGGTGTGTAATATTTCAAAGGGAATGTCAACTGTTTCCATAAGTGATCACTATCTTATTTATGGAATCAGCAAATTTAATGTGTGAAAGAAAATGCAAAAATAATCGAATACCGCGACTACAAATATTTCAACAAACAAATATTTTTGCGCGATCTGCAGAATCACTTAGCCGATTTTAACCTGGACGAACACGATCCAAATATATCTTGGCAGATTTGGAAGAATAAATTCTTCAGAATCGGGAACAACCATGCCCCAGTAAAAAGACGGAAATTCGGCACTAAGCGACTACCTTGGCTAACAACAGACCTAATTCACAATAAACGACATATTAATTTCCTACATAGGAAAGCTAGAAGAACAACGCAACTGATGCCTGGTCAGGCAAAAATCCAATTCAATAGGCAAATGAAAGATAGAAAATGCTCGTGTTATCGAGGCAAACTACATAGCAATTCAGGAAATTTAAAACAAGCACGGAAAACACTCAACGAATTGATGAATAGAAAGTCAACTGATAATAAAATCCCAAAAATGAAAGATGAGAATGGCGGAGTAATTGACGGAAAGCTGATCCCTGACGCCTTTAATAAATATTTTGTTGAACTAGGTGAAAAACTTGCTAATAAAATTACTCGATCGAGTATTTTACCAGGTAGTTCTCTCAGTGATGCACACCACCCAAGGTAATGGGCTCCTTAGCTTTCAAGAAATTTTTCAGAATGACATTTTGAAACTACTTCATGGTTTAGGTTTTAGGCACCAGTCATTTCGATGATCTGGGTTCGAATCCCATGACCACTGCCAGGTGTTATTTTCTGAATTTCAGATTCGAAATCGAATATTTTAATTCATTGTTTCATTAAAATGTTTCCAAATAATGGGCAGGGAAAGATGGCTAAAAATTTGCTCCCGGAGGGGATCGAACCCTCGACCTTCGCATATACTTCAGTACTGCTTATAAGTACGACGCACTAACCGACTGGGCCACGGGAGCAAGTCATGTTAACGGTGTTATTTTTTTCAAAACTTATTGTTTCGGAATGAAGCAGACTTGGGCATAATAATAATAGCAGCAAATGGTCTCGATCCATTCGAGCCTTTTTGACGAGAAGGAAACAATGTGTTCGCATCCGCGATAAGATGTCGTCGTTTAGGTGTTTTAATGGAGGTATACCTCAAATACTAAATTAGGCCCTATTCTATTTGCGGTCCTGGTAAATAGTCTACTTCGTAATTGGAATTTCAGAATCAAATTTATGGACGACCTAACAACTATAGAATTTATCCCATTACGAACAAGATTTGGATCGACTGCCATTTAAACATTTTAATTAAGTAACTTACCCAAGGTTACGTCGTCCGGCATATCACGAATTGAAAACACAA